TTTCTGAAAGAGCCAAATTAGCCAAAAGCGTCGTTTCGTGATTCGATGGGGTCTAGAAATCTGTACCGAATCCACAATGCATGTACAGAAGTTAACTTTTGCCGTTCAATACTTGGGGCCAATCGGAAGCTTGTCATCCTAGCAATTGGTCCAATAAGATCATTGAAAATGCCTACGAATAATTTGGTCGAAATGAATAATTTATTTTACGGCTTCAAAAACTTGAACAAATTATTTATATACGGAACAATTGTAGATTATTTACTCAAGGACTGAATTACAAAGAATAATTTATTTTATTTAAATTATTGAATAGTATTATTTTTAGATTATTTTTTGAAGGGCCTTGGTTGAAGATAAAGACCGACTCCAAGGCCACCGCCGCCGACGAGTAAACAACCCGGTGGGCACGCGCGAATATGTAACCGTCGAACGTGACCATCCCGATTAGTATCATATATAGGTTAATATAGTTCCATGCGAAAGTCCATCAAGCGAACAACTTATCGAAACAAATTAAATCCCAAGCGCATACATCGCCACCGTCTCAATCCCATCCAACCAATTCGCGAATTGTAATCCACCTTAGAGCATTGATCCAAGCGGTAGGTGCGATTCGACGCAGTCCAACATCAACATCACTTCTGGATTGCTCCATCCCTTCCCACGTCCTTTTCCTTTCTGCGCCATGCTGACAGTGATTCTCAAATGCCAGAATTGTGTCGTCCATCAATCTCGGCACAAATTCTAGCCAATAGGGAGTCCCAAAAAAGTGAAAACTATGACAATTTCAAAGCACTGGTAAGACAACACGGTCAATAATATTCCACCTGTATACGGATAATTTAAAGTCAGAAGCGGCTCAAATATACTTTGTGACAGTTTCTGAAGTCCCCCAATACTCTAATTTTAGCCAACCAATGACCTCAGTTTCATCCTTCTACCAATCATATGGCACAAACAACGAATCTGCATAATTTTGACTAATAAACACGACGACTTAGGGTTAGGGCTACTGCTATTGTGTTGGTTCCGACAATTTTGTCGGAATGGAATCTGAAATATCACATCTTGCATACAAACTACAGTAGTAGTGATCGAGTATTTGACTGGAAATGATTCATACTCTTCACGACGCCCTCACCCGCGACGGGTTCCAACTGCCCCCCCTTCCCCCCGCCAACCCCTGGGTCGACTTTTGGATCAGGTATCTATCTCCCTATCTCCACTTCGGCCACGCGACTACGTTCCCTCCAAGATGTGCTGGACATGATCACCTTGTCGCCCCCATGCAAGCCACGCCCGCGTTCAAGACGTTTCTTGGTCCGATCCCGGATGCCCGCCTCGCCGTACACAACATTGCGCGAGTATAGTACCGTACAGTGTGAATAAACCGTTGCTTTATACCAGTACGTGAACTGGTTGTTCGTACTACTGCACTATATCACACGTTATCTCAGACGACTGCAGTATCGTTGGTTGTACACTCGAATTTCTTTCAGGGTGTTGACGACAACGATGACATACACCCACCACTACTGTACATGCATCCAACACCTGACACGATAAAATGAAAGTGTTTTGCTCTGAAATGTCTGTCGGGACCTTTCCTTCACACAGTACTAAATGGTCAGTAGTTGCATTTCTTATGCTTCAAGTACCTTGGACAATCA